GAGGCTACCTGGGAGAAAGTTTGGAGTTTCCTCCCCTTCATCCTGAGAGCATTCACTATCTACAAGCAGAGCAGGGTCGACTTTGTCTCCTTTAAATGTGACTTTGGCGCTCCTGTGAGGCTGGTTGAAGTCAGAAGCGCCGTGGCTGTTTGAACGAGGGACAGCACATTCCTCCAGTGAGTCCTGAGGGACTTGTTTTTCCTCAGTCTTCTGCAACCCCCTGATGAACCAGATAGGATAGAGATGACAAACATTAAACCAAGAGGGATTGGACCCCAGGAGTTCCCAGCTGGTTTTGACGGGAGGCGTAAGGTAGTATTGAAGACAGAACAGGAAATCCTCCTTTATCTCCAACAGAGCCCGGCTTCCTTTAGAACCAGAGAGGAAGAGAGCAGCTGGTGTTCATTGCACTGGACAGACAGGAGCTGAGGAAGGCAGAGGCTCAGCTGCTTCTGTATGGTACAGTCTTCACAGCATTCACACAGAACCAAAGACAGCTGCCACACCGTGCGTCTAAGCTGGGTTGTATTAAACATGCTGTGGCCAAGGGAATACAGGGGTCTGAGCCTTGGTAGGCCTCGGAGGTGGCGTGCCTTGTAGATTGTTTTTTTAATTTTAGCATTGTGATGTGAAATGTAAAGTTTTCCTGGGCACTTTTCTTGGTGTTTAACTTTGGTAGGTGCTTTCTAATTCCTCTGCTTGTTGTCTGTTTGTTATTAATCTTCCCTAACAGGAGTCTAAGGACAACCACGTGGAAAGCGGCTTTCTATCTCATCCTGGCTTCACTGCAAGAGAGGACAGGTCTCCTCTGTGTGTGCAGGAAATCCCTAGGGCTAGTTAGGATATCAAGGGTCATTCTTACAGGTGCAATGAAGGCAATGGGCAAGCATGTTAACAGGGTTATTTCCTTGTTGATAAGTACATGAAATCAGTTCACTCTGCAGCTGTCTGTATCCTGTATCTACAATCTGTGACTACCTTCACCCACCTGTGTTCTTTCTGAGATCTTTTTCATATTTTAGCACCCATTACCCGCTCCTGATTATTCAGTGTTACCTGGGGGCAGGTGATTGCTGTACTTTCTGGACCTCCTCATCTGTATCATCTTCATCTTCATCTTCATCTTCATCACTTTCTACAAATACAGAAGCGTGTATTCAGATATTTCCCACTTCACCCACTGGAAGCACAGCGAGCCCTATGTGCACTGACATGAACATCCATGTATGGGTCTGCATTGTACTGAAAACTCTCCTGTTTATCTCTAGAAAATGCCCTGGCATGTTCTCCAGATCCATGAGGGAATGTGTTTCTGACCCGGAGGGTCACCATCATGATGTGGCCAAATATTGAAAAGACTTCTTGCTCCCCATGTTACTGGAGGCCTGTCCTGCCTCTCTCTAAGCCTCAGCAGCTGTCTCCCCAATCCTGCCACTGTTCTGATACCCAGGCACAGGCTGTGCATCCTGTCACAGCTTGCATTACAACCTGTATCTTTCTCTTAGGACAGGACAAACAAACTTGTCCCACAATACTCCGGGGACTTCATGTCCCACATACATCGGGGACATCATGGGCCCTCCAAGTGACTTCCACAGTGCTACCCAGGGACACTCTCTCCATGGGGAGTGCTCCAGTCTAGACCACTTCCTACCACCAAATGCCCCCACATCAATTGCCTTCTCCAACACCACACAGCAAGGGGCTTTATCTCATCATGAAATATAGCCGTAAGTGTTCCCACATTTGAATGCAAGAGACAATTGGTCTGCCTTTACAGATTTAGACACAGGAACTCAGGACGGATAAATTCATCAGTTCCTCACAGTTGTTAAAGTCATTGCTGAAGATAGAGCCTGGGAACCTTCATTCTTAGTGCAGGGCTCTTTTTACTCTAACAAGCTGCCTCCTGTCACAGCCTCCTTCCTGTCCTTTAAAACTGGACAGATGCTGCCTCTTGCCCCAAAGACCATGTTCCAGCAAGAAATGAGGGGACATTTGCAATCCTGTGACCTGCAACCCCTTGGGTTACCCATTTCTGTTTTTGCCCAGGAAGTCCTGGTCACGTCATGGCTACAAATATTTAGTGGAAAGAAACACTACCCATAAAAGTGTCATTGTGGAGGTGTGGAGGTCTGGGGACTTTTATAAGCCTGGGGCTGTGTGTCATCAGCGCCTGTGTCCACCTTACCTGGGCTGAGCTTGTTGACAAGATGCTCTGCCAGCCTGTTCCCCTCAGCCAGCTGCACTCGGAGATCCTGACCCTGGGACTTGTCAGGGTCACCAGGAGTGAGGAGGGCCTTCAAATGCTGATACAGTGAGCGGGAGGCATCTCTCCCTTCCCGTAACTTCTGCCGTAACTGGGTCAGCTCTTTTGCCTGAGAGTGAACCAGGGCTTTATACTGCCTACGGTGAGATAGCAGAGTACGTTTAATAACAGAAAGTGATGAGTGATCAGTTCTAATACTGCAACGGAGGTTTATGTGAGAATGTCCTCAAGGGGCCTTACAGGTAGAAGGTCACAACATGTTTGGGGAAATGCCTGTGTACAACATCTACATACATCTACAAACATATATATATATATATATATATATATATATATATATATATATATATATATATATATATATATATATATATTTGACAGGGAATGGTGGCTCACAACTATAATCCTAGCACTTTGGGAGTCTGAGGCAGGCACATTACCTGAAGCCAGGAGTTCAAACCCAGCCTTGCCAACATGGTGAAACCTTGTCTCTACAAAAAATACAAAAACTAGCCAGGCATGATGGTGCATGCCTGTAGTTCCAGCTACTCAGGAGGCTGAGGCAGGAGAAATGCTTGAACCATGGAAGCAGGGGTTGCAGTTAGCTGAGATTTTGTGACTACACTCCATACTGGGTGACAGAAATGAGACTCCATTAAAATATACATGTATACATATATATTGCATTTATATATACGAAGGCTTCCTCTATATCAGAGAGAGCTCCTGTAAGATCCTCCATGATTTTAGATTCATTTATTTCTTCTGTAACCAAAAGTCATTGTCTTCTTAAGTCAGTTTCAAGGGGATGTCCTTTTAGCTCCTCACTTTGGCCATGGAAATTTCTATGTGAAAATTCACATAGTGCATCTTGCAGTGACTGGAAACAGGGCGGTGCACAGAAATGTGGCCAGATGCAGATGGGGTGAATTGGAAAGACGAAAGAAGAAGGGAATGGCAGGTCAAGAAGGCAACATTGATTGAACGAATGACTTGCTGCAGTAAGTCCGGAGGGGACTCTAAGAGCAAATGGGCGGTGATTACACACCATTTTGAGTGTATTAAATGCTGCTGGGTGGTTCATTTTCTTTAAATGAATTTTGGATACGCAGATTTCACCTCAAGAATTAGGTGTTTTAAGAAGAGAAAACAAAGCTCAAGAACCAACTGCAACCCATAACTTGCTAAGATTACTGTTCTGTTTTCTGAGTGCGTGTCTGAAATGTGCCTGCCATGTAAATGCCTGCCCTTGTCCTGGCCCAGCTTAGCTCCTGCTTCTCCCAGGTGAACTGCTGCACTTCAGAGGTCACACCCCGCCCACCTGCCTGTCCCCATGGCATCTGCTCACCTGAGCTCCTCAGCTTGCCTGAGCTTCTCTGCCAGCTTCTCCTCTATGAACTGCACTTCATCCCTCAGCACAGAATCTATGATGTCTTTGTCCTCTTCACACTCTGAGAAGAGACAGTCATGCCTGCCTCAGTGGAAGGCTGGACAGGCTGGTGTGGTCACTGCCTGCAGGGCAAGTGGCAGTGTCTATCCCAAGGACAAAAGCATCCCCAGTACAAGATTGTAGTGAGTGCTTTTTCATTTTTTATTATCAACCTCCCAACCTGCTGGCATCTGACACTCTCCAACTTAAAGATGGGGAAAAATAAACTCAAGGATACATCAAGTAACTTGAAAGGATGATTCACCTGGGATGAGGCAGAGTCAGAATTCATAGCCCCAAAGATCAGGCTCTGAATCCTGGGACACTTTCCCAAGCCTTGCAGCCTCTCCTGTCAAACACTCTACTGGGGCATGAAGTAGTGATATCTTGTACAGTAGGAAAGGCCCTTAGGACTATGGGAACTCATGGATTCCCTGCTACTGGGAATTTCAAGCACATGTATGTCAAATGACTTAAAAAAACCTATATCTGAATATAATTGCATAATATATGAGGCATAAGATCCTGAGGTCATGATAGAAATATGATGAAATACTAAAAAATTTGAATTAAGTTAGAAACAGTAGGATGAAGAACTAATAGATAGTGTTTACTCTGTGCCAAGAATTGTTCTAGGAGATTTAGAAGAAACACATCATGTAATTCATTGCAGCCATTTACAGAGGTAGGAATTATTATAATAGGCAATGAATAGATGAGGAAACTGAGGCACAGAGAATATAGGCCACTTGGATGGAGCCCAGGAGACTGGCCCAGGCTTCCTGCTCTGCACACAACACTGCCACCTCCCCAATGTCTTACATGCCATCTTTCTTCCTCTTTACAGAAAGAGCCTGTGCCCCAGGAAGCAGGACTTCCCTCTCCCCAGGGTACTCCCTGCTCTTCATGCTGTTACTTATGGATGCCACCGTTACTATTGGGAGCAGTCTCCTCTTTAAGCTCCTTAGAGCAGGTAGTCTGTACTGTTGCCACATTTTGCCCGGGGTTCCCTGAAGAGAGATTTGCCTATTGGGTCTCAAAGAAGCTTAAACGGAATGGCAGTTCATCAGTTCCAGGCCTTTAGACCAACAGACTAGATGTTATTTGTCTGCAGGATATTCTAGGGTACAGACAACATTCTCGTAAACATGATTGAGCATCTTGCTGAGAAAAGCAAGTGGTTCTGTGCCTGTGTCAGAGGTCAGTAAGCAGGATTTTAACTGTGGTCCCACCTCACATCAGACTGCTAACGTGGAAAGTTACCAAATACGTTGTGCCTCTGTTTTCCATCCTTAACACAATGAAGTGAAAATACCCATTTTGTTTTCCTAGAACTAAGGAAAGGATGAAATTAATTTTGATGAAGAGAATGTTCAGTATCTCAGAGAGAAGACAGGTGCTGATTCATCACTTTCGTGATGGTGGATCTATAGAACTTACTGTATTTGTTGAGTTGCTTGGCCAGAGAGTAGGCAGTAGCTTGACTTACAAGAAATTTCTCCTTGAGGTCTTCAAACTGCTGTTGGCTCTCTGCCAGCTTGGAGCGCAATTCCTTGTTGGTTTCTAGGATTTTCATCTCTGCCCTATCATGGAACAAATGAGTGGCAGTTACCACTATGCTGATGTTTGTGTCAGGAGAATTCAAACAGGGACTGGGGGAAAGAAACCCAAGCACATGATGAATCAAGAACTAGTGAAATCATCTAGGTTCAGTCAGAACTGAGGGATGACAACAGCTAGAGTTGTTGACTTACGGTTGTGAAGAACTTAATCAACACCCCACAGCACTTTAGAATCCTTAACAGCAAAAACAGCGTTTAGGATGCCTGAGCTCAGAGCCGAAGGCACTGCCTGTAGCTCTGCCTCCGACAAGAGTGAGGGAGGTCAGAGCCAGCGTGCCAGGTAACCGTCTGCAGTTGCAATAACAGAATTAGAAGGCGGGGATGTCATGGAATCTTAGGGGCCCTGCATTCCAATTGCCCAGGCTGTGCTGACACCCAAGGCCCCCTGGTCTCACTTGAGAGTCACTGATGGGGACCATTTTCTCAGCAGTCTCTCAGTATTTGTGCACTTTTGTGACAGTGCTGCAGACTCACATCTTTCTCAGTACATCTAAGCATATTCCTTGTTGTTCATCTTGTGCATGTATAAAATCATCAAGGTAGAGACAGTTTTCCGAGAAGTTACGTTTTCTTTGTGG